CACACACACACACACACACACACACACACACACACACACACACACACACACACACACACATACACAAAGACAGAGAAATAGAGAGGGAGAAAGACATACATATAGATATATATACAGAGAGAGAGAGAGATTGAGAAATTATACAATTTCAAATTATTTTACCAATGAAAGCATTGGAGTAATACGACTGGTATTTTCTCTGTCCATGGTGCTGAACCAGAACAACCACAAAATGAAAGCAAATATATTCCCAGCAAGATACGTCAAATAGTACTGAAAAATGTTACAGCTGAAACGATAAAAGGGTCTAATACACCGTGTTGCAATATAAATAAAAATAGGCCTGAGAATAACAGAGGAGAAACATCTGCACCGTCTGGAAAACAAACCTCTATGGGAGAGTCTGGTTCATCCAGGATACTCTTTTCATTCTGTATCCGCTGCATCGTCCCTGTAGAACTGGGGTCCATTATCAGCACGTTCTGACTACCAGCTCTGCCGAACTTACAGTCACTCTTTCTGGAGTCAGTCGTCCTGCACACCTCGTAATTGTACACGTGCTGCAGAGTCCCTGTCCCCAAAGTGTCTGAGTAACGTGGTGGATAATATGGAATCACAGGGAGATTGGAGTGATACAGGATGCGAGACTGTCTCCATCTGTAGATTTTCACTGATGTAATAACCACTAAACACGTGATGAAGAGGAAGGAAACTACAGCGAGAGCCAACACTAAGTAAAAAGTCAGGTTGTCATTGTACTCCTTGTCGTGTGTAAAGTCAGTGAACTCCGACAGCACTTCAGGGAAGCTGTCCGCCACCGCCACATTAACAATGACTGTAGCTGAACGAGAGGGCTGCCCGTTGTCCTCCACTATAACAGTCAGTCTTTGTTTCACTGCATCTTTATCAGTGACTTGGCGGATAGTTCTTATTTCTCCATTCTGTAAGCCCACTTCAAACAGCGCCCTGTCTGTGGCTTTCTGCAGTTTATAGGAGAGCCAGGCATTCTGTCCAGAGTCCACATCAACAGCCACCACTTTAGTCACCAGATAGCCCACGTCTGCTGAACGAGGCACCATTTCAGCCACCAGAGAGCCACCAGTCTGGACTGGGTACAGAACCTGAGGAGGGTTGTCGTTCTGGTCCTGGATCAGTATTTTCACAGTCACATTGCTACTGAGTGGAGGAGAGCCTCCATCCTGCGCTTTGACGCGGAAGTGGAAATCTTTGATCTGCTCGTAGTCAAAAGAGCGCACTGCATGGATGACTCCACTATCAGCACTAACGGACACATATGAGGAGACTGGCACTCCGTTAACAGAGGAGTCCTCCAGTATGTAAGAAACACGGGCATTCTGGTTCCAGTCAGCGTCTCTGGCTTTCACTGTGAATATAGAGAGGCCTGGTGTGTTGTTTTCTACAATGTAGGCCTCATATGAGCTCCTCTCAAAGACAGGCGCATTGTCATTCACATCAGAGATCTGTAAGGTGAGAGTGACGCTGCTGGAGAGGGAGGGGACTCCCTCATCAGAGCAGGTCACTGTTATATTATACTCAGAGGCCCTCTCTCTGTCTAATTCATTGTCTGCCAGTAGGTTAAAGAAATTACTTGATGTCGGCTTTAGTGTAAAAGGTATATGTTCATTAATTGCGCAGTGGACTTTGCCATTATCTCCGGAATCTATGTCCTGAACATTGACCATAGTCACAACTGTTGCTGGTTTAGAATCCTCGGGAATCACATTAGTCTGCGACATAATATTAATGACTGGCTTGTTATCATTAATGTCTATCACTTCAACTGTAATCTTACATGAATCTGTCAGGCCTCCTTCATCACTTGCTTGTACGTGTATTTGATAGTAACGTGCCTTTTCATAGTCTACGCTACTTTTCAAGATCAAATCCCCATTTATTTCATGAATTTCAAACATGTCTCTTACATCTGCAGCGGTGTTGGATATTGAATATGTTATCTTGGAATTTGATCCTTTATCAGCATCAGAAGCAGTGACCCTGGTTATGACTGTACCTTTGGGGGCGTTTTCTGTTATTGTAGCTTTGTAAACCGTCTTCGTAAAAACAGGCGCATTGTCATTAGCATCAAGCACTGTAACATGTATCTGCGCTGTCCCAGATAGGTTTGGTTCCCCTCCGTCTACCGCAGTTAAAACTAGAAATATCTCCTCTTCCTTCTCTCTGTCAAGAGGTTTTTGTAAAACCATTTCAACAATCTTTTCTCCATCGGGTTGATCCTTCAGTTTCAGCACAAAATTCTCAGTCTTAGTCAGATAATAACTCTGCAGACTATTCATGCCAACATCGGGATCTAATGCCCTCTCTAGCAAGAATTTCGCTCCTATTACGGCAGACTCGCTTATTTTGAATTTCATGTCAGTTTTTTCAAATACTGGAGTATTGTCGTTTATATCTGTAATTTCGACAACAACAGTATAAAATTCCATAGGGTTTTCCAATATAATCTGAAAATGCAAAGCGCAGGGCGTCGTCTGTCCACACAGCGCTTCTCTGTCTATTTTCTCTTTGATAAGGAGGACTCCTCGTTCGCTATTCAGCTCGATGTGCTCAGCACTGTCTCCAGTAAAAATCCGAGCTTTACCTGATGTTAGTCGTTTCCTGTCTAAACCTAGATCCTGAGCGATGTTACCGATTAATGAGCCCTTTGCCATCTCCTCGGGAATGGAGTAGCTGACCTGTCCGGCCACCGATGAAAGAGAGAGGAAGGAGATAAACAACAGCACTTGCCGCCTCATTGTTCCGTCCGGTGTTTCCATGCAACACGAATCCCGTTACAGCCCTATTTTCACTGAAAGATCAATCCGCTGTACTTCCTCAATATATAAAGCAGCTTGGAATATTCAGTTACTGATAGTTTTCTTTAGCTTTCCGTGTCGGTACTGGGTGCTCTCTTGTGTGATATTCGCACTGCGAGTCTGTTTCTCACTGATTTAAGAAGAAAAGACGTTTGTGGGGGAGGTACTGCTGAAACCTGCTACACACTTGTGACACACTGGCCAACAGCGGCCCTACGAGTTCAATCTAATGTACTACACAAATCTGTGCAAAGGGAAAGTATTGAAGCCGATCATATGGTAGACAGAAGTTTAACATCTGAGGTACCAGTCAGATATTTAACACTCAATAGTCCACCTTAAAACCACCAATGTTGATGAGTGAAATTTGTCTGTGATGGTACACCACCATCAATCAGACACCAGTAAAAGCCTTGAGGACGCTAGTACAAATACTTATGAAATATAGGTCAAATCTTTTTTATACAGAAGAAATGCCTTTTCCAGTTATATAAACACACAGACAAGCAGTGAAGACGGCCTTTGAAAGAGTAATTCGTGTCATTAGGCGCTGTTATCACTAGCAGAATTAACAACTACCACTGAGAATAATCTTTATGATACAGAGTATGAAATAATCAGTACGGGGAACAGGTGATGATCCTGAATACACTGAAATACTGTAGAAACAGAAAAGTGCACATTTTCTTGAAATAGAATAGAATAAAGACACATGGCCTTACCAAAGTCAAGTATTAAGACACGATTAACATCCACATGGTAGTAATAAAAATATTATAACGCTTGCAGGTAACACAAAACAATGTTTTGTTATAATCAGCGATTTTCATAAAGGGTATATATGTCAAATTTCTTCAAGTTTAAAATTAAGCTTTTTGAGTGCATCAAAGGTGAAATCCAATGTAAAACAATATTAAATTCTAACCTCTAGAGGAGAGTCTGGTTCATCCAGGATGCTCTTTTCATTCTGTGTCCGCTGCATCGTTCCTGTAGAGCTGGGGTCCATTATCAGCACGTTCTGACTACCAGCTCTGCCGAACTTACAGTCACTCTTTCTGGAGTCAGTCGTCCTGCACACCTCGTAATTGTACACGTGTTGGAGAGTCCCTGTCCCCAAAGTGTCTGAGTAACGTGGTGGATAATATGGAATCACAGGGAGATTGGAGTGATACAGGATGCGAGACTGTCTCCATCTGTAGATTTTCACTGATATAATAACCACTAAACACGTGATGAAGAGGAAGGAAACTACAGCCAGAGCCAACACTAAGTAAAAAGTCAGGTTGTCATTGTACTCCTTGTCGTGTGTAAAGTCAGTGAACTCCGACAGCACTGCAGGGAAGCTGTCCGCCACCGCCACGTTAACAATGACTGAGGCTGAACGAGAGGGCTGCCCGTTGTCCTCCACTATAACAGTCAGTCTTTGTTTCACTGCATCTTTATCAGTGACTTGGCGGATAGTTCTTATTTCTCCATTCTGTAAGCCCACTTCAAACAGCGCCCTGTCTGTGGCTTTCTGCAGTTTATAGGAGAGCCAGGCATTCTGTCCAGAGTCCACATCAACAGCCACCACTTTAGTCACCAGATAGCCCACATCTGCTGAACGAGGCACCATTTCAGCCACCAGAGAGCCACCAGTCTGGACTGGGTACAGGACCTGAGGAGGGTTGTCGTTCTGGTCCTGGATCAGTATTTTCACAGTCACATTGCTACTGAGTGGAGGAGAGCCTCCATCCTGCGCTTTGACGCGGAAGTGGAAATCTTTGATCTGCTCGTAGTCAAAAGAGCGCACTGCATGGATGACTCCACTATCAGCACTAACGGACACATATGAGGAGACTGGCACTCCGTTAACAGAGGAGTCCTCCAGTATGTAAGACACACGGGCATTCTGGTTCCAGTCAGCGTCTCTGGCTTTCACTGTGAATATAGAGAGGCCTGGTGTGTTGTTTTCTACAATGTAGGCCTCATATGAGCTCCTCTCAAAGACAGGCGCGTTGTCATTCACATCAGAGATCTGTAAGGTGAGAGTGACGCAGCTGGAGAGGGAGGGGACTCCCTCATCAGAGCACGTCACTGTTATATTATACTCAGAGGCTCTCTCTCTGTCTAATTCATTGTCTGTTGTCAAACTAAAGAAATTATTTGACGTTGAGGAAATTGCGAATGGAATGTTCTCGTTAATGTAACATTGAACTTTTCCATTTTTGCCCGCATCTGGATCTTGGATATTTATCATTGTCACAACAGTGCCAGACTGAATGTCCTCTTTTATTGCACTGGATTTTGACATGACATTTATAACAGGTGTGTTGTCATTTGTGTCAGTTATTTCAACTATAATTTTGCATGAGTCAGTTAGTCCTCCTTCATCGCTGGCCTGAACATGTATTTGATATTGTCGCTTTTTTTCAAAGTCAGTGTTACCGGTCAGTGTAACTTCTCCGGTCTCTCTGTTTATCTCAAATAACTCGGACACATTGTCGAGTAGATTTAGTATAGCATAAGATACTTTTCCATTAGATCCTTCGTCTAGGTCAGATGCACTGACAATCACTACTTGTGTTCCTGAGGGTGAATTTTCTCTTATGGTGGACTTATATATTTTTTGCGTAAAAACTGGAGCATTATCATTACTGTCAAGGACATTTATATTTATTTGAACTGTCCCGGAAAGCTGCGGCTCACCACCGTCTACTGCCGTTAATATAAGCGACAAATGATTCTGTTTCTCTCGATCTAACGGTTTTTGTAAAACCATTTCAACCATCTTGCTTCCATCTGCCTGACTTTGCAGCCTCAAAACAAAGTTATCGGTTGGTTTTAATAAATAACTCTGAAGGCCATTCACACCGACATCCAGATCTATTGCCTGCTGCAACAAGAATACTGCCCCTGTAACAGCTGACTCGCTTATTCTGAATTTAATTTCACCTCTTTTAAAAATCGGGGCGTTGTCGTTAATATCTGTAACCTCAACGGTAATACTATAAAATTCCATAGGATTCTCCAAAATAACCTGGAAATGAAGAGCACAGGGCGACGTCTGAGCGCAGATCACCTCTCTGTCTATTCTGTCTTTGACAAGGAGAACTCCTCTTTCTTTATTTAACTCGATGTATTCTGCACTGTCTCCTGTATAAATGCGAGCTTTTCCTGATTTCAATCTTTTCACATCCAAACCCAAATCTTGCGCAATATCACCCACGAAAGAACCTGTCGGCTTTTCCTCTGAGATGGAGTAGCTGACCTGCCCAATCACTGAACTAAAATAGAGGATCAAGATAAACAGCAGCACTTGCCGTCTCATTGTTCTGGCTGTCGTGTTCCTGTTAAATGAACCGCGTGATATTCCTGTAAAAAGCGGATTGCTCTTCAGTAGTAATCCTATTTATGTCCTCGGGATACTTGCAGTAACCAGTTAGATCGTAAATTACAGATGTGAAATAACAGTATCAGTCCAAATTAACGTTTACAGCTTCAGTCTTCCTGTCCCGTACCGTCCCTTGTGTCTTTCTCTCGTTCTCTGTCTGAAATGATGTGGGAGGTTCTGCTGATTTCTTCTCCCAACTAACACAGACTGGCCAACAGCGGCCCTAAGAGTTCATCATGCCGAACTGCAGAATGCTGTGGAGGATGTAAAGCACTCACAATCATTTTCAGTGTGCAGGCTCATGGATACTTGAATGTAACACGGCGATTGAATGATTTAATGTGACAAAATATTTGTTTTACGTCATCTCAGAGTTATTTGTATTATAATATGAGCCTGAACGGCCAACCTCATTGAATGGTATGAGAAAGAGAAACTATGCCTGTATAAACTGGGTACAAATACTGATGATGAATTATATCCACTGTAAGTGTACTCAAATAGGTTTTTCTTTCTCTCTCTCTGGCTCTTACACACACGCACACACACACACACACAAACACGCACACACGCACACACGCGCACACACACACACACACACACACACACACACACACACACACACACACACACACACACACACACACACACACACACGAGCTCTTGAAGCTGTAGTGCCACTTTCTTTTAGACGCATAAAACTCGAAAAGGTAAGCATTCCTTTTTCAAAAACAGATCAGGAACAGCGCATCACAGCACTTGCAGGTATGCCTCATGAGCAAAGAAATTAGTTTTTTGTTTCATCATAGCATAAAAAACAACATTAGCGCAAAACACAACGTCATGAATAACTATAACCACGGTGGAGAAGATTCATATTTGACTGAGTATAGTTAAAAACGTATTGTCACGGAAATGAGAGAGGGAAGGGCTTCGTTTAATCCAATATAAGTTAACACTGCAACAATGACCTGTCCTCAAACAATAAAACACTGACCGAGAAGTGAGGAAGACTTAGGCGCTGTCCATGGTCCTGAAAAAAGAAAAACAGCCTAGATAATTCGAAGCTCTACTTGCCTAAAGTCTGAAAGTATTTCCTATTATGGAAACACGCCACATTTGAAATACTGTGCAAACAACTGCACACAATCTTCTGTGTTTTAGTAATATGGCTTGTGAAACACAAATCTGTGAGGGTAAGCAGGGGTTTAAAAATAATTCGTCCATGTCACCTTTGATACCGCTATCAAAATGCTTAATAAGTGCCAACATTAAAATAACTGAATTGAAAGGATGGGAATAAAAGTTTTATTATTTAACTAAATAAATGTAATGTTATATTACTTACATCGTTACCTCTGGAAAACTGACCCCTAGAGGAGAGTTTGGCCTCCTCTGTCTGGGGTGCTGAAATTTAATTGTCAACGAACAGAAAAAAATTTAACATACGACTCTGAGATAACCAAAGGGGAAAATATTCTAACCTCTAGAGGAGAGTCTGGTTCATCCAGGATGCTCTTTTCATTCTGTGTCCGCTGCATCGTCCCTGTAGAACTGGGGTCCATTATCAGCACGTTCTGACTACCAGCTCTGCCGAACTTACAGTCACTCTTTCTGGAGTCAGTCGTCCTGCACACCTCGTAATTGTACACGTGTTGGAGAGTCCCTGTCCCCAAAGTGTCTGAGTAACGTGGTGGATAATATGGAATCACAGGGAGATTGGAGTGATACAGGATGCGAGACTGTCTCCATCTGTAGATTTTCACTGATATAATAACCACTAAACACGTGATGAAGAGGAAGGAAACTACAGCCAGAGCCAACACTAAGTAAAAAGTCAGGTTGTCATTGTACTCCTTGTCGTGTGTAAAGTCAGTGAACTCCGACAGCACTTCAGGGAAGCTGTCCGCCACCGCCACGTTAACAATGACTGTAGCTGAACGAGAGGGCTGCCCGTTGTCCTCCACTATAACAGTCAGTCTTTGTTTCACTGCATCTTTATCAGTGACTTGGCGGATAGTTCTTATTTCTCCATTCTGTAAGCCCACTTCAAACAACGCCCTGTCTGTGGCTTTCTGCAGTTTATAGGAGAGCCAGGCATTCTGTCCAGAGTCCACATCAACAGCCACCACTTTAGTCACCAGATAGCCCACATCTGCTGAACGAGGCACCATTTCAGCCACCAGAGAGCCACCAGTCTGGACTGGGTACAGGACCTGAGGAGGGTTGTCGTTCTGGTCCTGGATCAGTATTTTCGCAGTCACACTGCTACTGAGTGGAGGAGAGCCTCCATCCTGCGCTTTGACGCGGAAGTGGAAATCTTTGATCTGCTCGTAGTCAAAGGAGCGCACTGCATGGATGACTCCACTATCAGCACTAACGGACACGTATGAGGAGACTGGCACTCCGTTAACAGAGGAGTCCTCCAGTATGTAAGAAACACGGGCATTCTGGTTCCAGTCAGCGTCTCTGGCTTTCACTGTGAATATAGAGAGGCCTGGTGTGTTGTTTTCTACAATGTAGGCCTCATATGAGCTCCTCTCAAAGACAGGCGCGTTGTCATTCACATCAGTGATCTGTAAGGTGAGAGTGACGCTGCTGGAGAGGGAGGGGACTCCCTCATCAGAGCAGGTCACTGTTATATTATACTCAGAGGCTCTCTCTCTGTCTAATTCACTGTCTGTCACTAATGTAAAGAAATTATTTGATGTTGACGTGATTGCAAAATTAATATTCTCATCTAGAGCGCAGTGAACTTTGCCATTTTCATTTGAATCTGGATCCTGAATGTTCATCATTGTCAGAACCGTGCCTGGCTTAACATCCTCAGATATACTGGATGACGTTGACATAATGTTGATAGCTGGTGGGTTATCGTTTGTGTCCAGCACCTCAATTATAACTTTACATACGTCTGAGTTACCACCTTCATCTGATGCTTGAACATCTATCTCATAATGCCTAAATTTCTCAAAGTCAAGTTTTCCCATTAACGTAACCACACCATTTTCCTTATCTACATGAAACAGTTCGAGTGCGCCCTGTGGAACATTAGAAATTGAATATTGTATGCGTCCGTGAGGACCTTCATCTGCATCAGAAGCGCTCACGGTGGTTAGAACAGCTCCTTTTAACGAGTTTTCTTTTACACTCGTCTTATACTCTGTTTGAGTACAAACAGGTGCATTGTCGTTTGCGTCCAATACATTAATAACAATTTGCATCGTTCCAGAGAGCTGTGGGTCGCCGCCGTCTGTGGCAGTTAATGTTAAAGACAACCGCTCCTGTTTCTCTCGATCAAGAGACTTTTTTAAAACCATCTCAACATTTCTATTACTGCCAATTTTATACGGGTTTAGAATAAATGTGTCACTTGAGCTAAGGGAATAGCCCTGGAGCCCATTAATACCTACATCGACGTCAACAGCCTTTTCTAGGACAAATTTTGATCCAATTTGAACTGTCTCACTAATTTCAAATTTCATTTCACTGTTTTTAAAAACCGGAGAGTTGTCGTTAATGTCGGTGATCTCGACTGTGATGCTATAAAATTGCATTGGATTCTCCAAAATGATTTGAAAATCAAGAGCACAGGGCGTCGTCTGTCCGCACAGCGTTTCTCTGTCTATCCGCTCTTTGATTACAAGCACTCCCCTTTCTTTATTTAACTCGATGTATTCTGTACTTTCTCCGGTATATATACGAGCTTTCCCTGATTTCAGTCGTTTCACATCTAAACCTAAATCTTGTGCTATGTTACCAACCAAAGATCCTTTCGCCATTTCCTCGGGTATGGAGTAGCTAACCTGCCCCAAAACCGAGTCGAGGGACACAAACGACATAAACAACAGCAGGACTACTTGCCGTGTCATTGTTCTGTCCGATATTCACTCGTACATAAAAACGGGTATCAAATCCGTTGTCCACTAAAACGATGTTAGACACAAATGTCAGTTAGATTATCCAGAATCCACACTCCCAAAAATACTGACGATTCGCCCGGTAGCTTCGTGTTTGACCATCTCATTGTTCCAAACCGTGCCTTTTCGATCATGTCTTTCTCTTTCACCGTAACACTTCGAGGTGATGGGGGAGGTACAGCTGCAATGAGCTCTGAAATCTCAGCTGACTGGTCAACAGCGTCCCTGTGAGTTGAATGTACTGAACTACACATCACATAAACGTTCCTGTTTTTTCCTGATGTATATGAGGCTGTGTTCATACACGTCAATTACTAACAGAAATTGAAATAACTTGCTGCGCAGTGAAATGTGATATGCTGTATTGATATAAAAAAACATTTTATGCATCCCTGTTTTTACGAAAAGACTTGCAGGCACAAACTAAAGTGCAAAAACACACAGACACATAAAATAAGCCAGATATAAGAAGGGGAAGACCCTTAACAATAAAAACCTCAGCAAAGTCTAATGTTGTGCTGTCCATGGTGCTGACAGGCACAGGAAGGGCAGAGATAGCAAGAGGACAGCATGTTGTAATCTTAAAGTGTGACTCTCTGTATGTGACATTAATTCAAATTCCCTGAATGTAATGCTTGAATTGTTTTTCTATTTTTTAAAGTTGACTATTTTCAACTATATGTGTTAATTCGGTTTTACGAAGAACTGGTATTACTGACTGCAAAAAATAAGGTACTAGTATTTTCAATATATCACTCTGGTTTACGTCTGTAAAATAGCAAATAGGCAGGTGACAAAAAAACTGCAGAATAACTGACATAAAATGATGAGCAACTGAGGCGTTTAGTGGAAATCAAGTGGTCTATCTAGTAGGAAAAATAACACTGAAGTGTGGATTCATACAACTTTATAGAAAGACAAGGCCAACCTCTAGGGGAGAGTCTGGTTCATCCAGGATGCTCTTTTCATTCTGTATCTGCTGCATCGTCCCTGTAGAGCTGGGATCCATTATCAGCACGTTCTGACTACCAGCTCTGCCGAACTTACAGTCACTCTTTCTGGAGTCAGTCGTCCTGCACACCTCGTAGTTGTACACGTGTTGGAGAGTCCCTGTCCCCAAAGTGTCTGAGTAACGTGGTGGATAATATGGAATCACAGGGAGATTGGAGTGATACAGGATGCGAGACTGTCTCCATCTGTAGATTTTCATTGATATAATAACCACTAAACACGTGATGAAGAGGAAGGAAACTACAGCCAGAGCCAACACTAAGTAAAAAGTCAGGTTGTTATTATACTCCTTGTCATGTGTAAAGTCAGTGAACTCCGACAGCACTTCAGGGAAGCTGTCCGCCACCGCCACGTTAACAATGACTGTAGCTGACCGAGAGGGCTGCCCGTTGTCCTCCACTATAACAGTCAGTCTTTGTTTCACTGCATCTTTATCAGTGACTTGGCGGATAGTTCTTATTTCTCCATTCTGTAAGCCCACTTCAAACAGCGCCCTGTCTGTGCCTTTCTGCAGTTTATAGGAGAGCCAGGCATTCTGTCCAGAGTCCACATCAACAGCCACCACTTTAGTCACCAGATAGCCCACATCTGCTGAACGAGGCACCATTTCAGCCACCAGAGAGCCACCAGTCTGGACTGGATACAGAACCTGAGGGGGGTTGTCGTTCTGGTCCTGGATCAGTATTTTCACAGTCACATTACTACTGAGTGGAGGAGAGCCTCCATCCTGCGCTTTGACAGTGAATACCAGCTGCTTGATCTGCTCATAATCAAAAGAGTGCACTGCATGTATAACTCCAGTTTCAGAGTTTATGGACACATAAGAAGAAACTGGGTTGCCACTGACTTGTGTGTCCTCCAGAAAGTACGAAAGTCTTGCGTTTTGATTCCAGTCGGAATCTCGTGCACTAACACTGAATATTGACAACCCTGGGACATTATTTTCAACAATATGGGCAGAATAACTTGGTTCAGTAAACACCGGAGAATTATCATTTACATCAGATATTTTTAGGTGTAAAGCTGCTTTAGTAGAAAGTGGAGGTGACCCACAATCAGTTGCAGTTATTGTAATGTTATATTCTGGTTTCGATTCACGATCAAAGGGTACTTGTGACAGCAAATTGTAATAATTAGTCAATGAGGACTGGATTTTAAAGGGGAGATTAGAATCTACTGAGCATGTTATGTGACCGTTTCTTTCAGAGTCAGCATCTTTAACATTAAAAACAGCTATTGTCGTACCCGGAGGGACATCCTCTGAAATAAAGCTGGTGAAAGACATTATATTTATAACCGGTGCATTATCATTTATGTCAGTGACCTCAATGACAATTTTGGTTGCATCGCTTAGGCCACCCTGGTCTTTGGCAATTACTCTTATTTCGTATTTTCTATCTTTTTCGAAATCAATATTTTCAGCAACGGATATTTTGCCAGTGAAACTGTCAATTTCGAATATTTCCCCAGACTTTCCCTTTACATTAGAAAAAGTATACGTAACCAAGCCATTAGACCCATTGTCGGCATCTGAAGCATTCACGGTAGTTATATAGGTGCCTATACCTGCATTTTCTGTCACGGTGGCAGTGTACAGTGATTGATTAAATACAGGAGGATTATCATTGATATCAAGGACAGTGATCTCGATATTTACTGTGCCAGATCGCTGTGGCGTTCCTCCGTCTACTGCTATCATCTTCAAAGAGAGGTGTGGTTTCAACTCTCTGTCTAATGGCTTCTGTAAAATCATTACAGCGAATTTGATTCCATCTGCGTTCGACTGCTGCTTCAGAACGAAATTATCATTAGGGGATAAGACATAATTTTGCAAGCTGTGGATCCCTGCATCGGGGTCATATGCACTTTCTAAATCGAAATGCGATCCTATTGTTGCAGATTCGCTAATTTCTAGATCAATTACATTATTTTTGAAAGTTGGCGCATGGTCATTCACGTCTAATATTTCCACTGTTACCCTGTGCAGTTCAATTGGATTTTCTAAAATAATTTCAAAACTGAAGCTACACGGTGTTACGTCTCCACAAAGCTCCTCTCGATCTATTCTTTCATTCACGACTAGAGTCCCTTTGTCTGTCTTCAGCTCAGTGTACTGATTGTTTTCTCCGGTCACGATGCGGGCCCGGCCAGAACGGAGCCTCTTTAGATCCAAACCAAGATCCTGTGCTACATTACCGATCAGAGAGCCTTTCTTCATCTCCTCCGGTATTGAATAACGGATCTGGCCATTGATGGTGGTAATCATGAAGTAAAAAATGAACAGTTGCAATGTCAGTGTCCAACACAACAGCCATTTTCCGCATCGGTGCTGGCGCAATCCCATGTCGTCACGAGTAAAATCCTGGATGCAACAGTAAATAAAATCCTTCAGCAAAAAATTCAGACGCAAGCTACACTCCAATTCAATAGTGCTCCATTTCTGTCGAGTAGAATTGTTCGATAATTATCAAACAAAAAAGGCTGTTTCAGTGCGAGTGTCTTTCCGTCGAACGTCAACTTGTATGAGGAGAGTGTTTTTATACCCTCGTCTTTCTATTCTCTATTACAGTCGTAACAACACTAGACTCCGTTTTACTGATCAACAGCGTCCCTTAGAGTCCAAACAAAGGAACCAACCTTGCCAAACGCAAATAGGTTGAGAAAACCCTTTCTATGAAATCTACTGTGTGGACCGAGAGGAATACAATAGTGGAAATAAAAATTAATAGATGAAGAACCTCAAACCAAAATGTAACATCAAAAAACACACTCCACACATAATCAAACCAGAGTCAGAGAGCAAGCGATTTAAAGCAGTATTTAAACCATGTCTCATTGTATGGAGCCGTCCAACGTTGCAGCGCTAAATATAAAGGTTAAAGAATGACATTAACTTCAACGAAAAATTTGTACATTATAGTAGGCAAACTTCTAGAGGGTTGTCAGTGTAAGGAGTTTTGATTGTCAGTACTAAAAATATTTACTCTGTTGCACAATAAAAACAAGTTATCTGTCCGTTTTAACACAATGCAACTAAGTAAAACAAGACTAATATGCAAGTGAAATGTGACAGCAGGGTCTGAGAATATAGGCAGAATAATATCTTTTTGAAGTTCTGAATATGAATGCAGACCCATCTTATCCAGTGATGTAAAGTGAGATGCTGTCCATGGTGCTGAAAATGTAGGTATGGCGCAAAACACTTTCCAATGAATTTAACTAAACACAGAAAGAAATAACTGTACAGAGAGGAAGCTACATTATTTAACTAACCTCTAGAGGAGAGTCTGGTTCATCCAGGATGCTCTTTTCATTCTGTATCCGCTGCATCGTCCCTGTAGAACTGGGGTCCATTATCAGCACGTTCTGACTACCAGCTCTGCCGAACTTACAGTCACTCTTTCTGGAGTCAGTCGTCCTGCACACCTCGTAATTGTACACGTGTTGGAGAGTCCCTGTCCCCAAAGTGTCTGAGTAACGTGGTGGATAATATGGAATCACAGGGAGATTGGAGTGATACAGGATGCGAGACTGTCTCCATCTGTAGATTTTCACTGATATAATAACCACTAAACACGTGATGAAGAGGAAGGAAACTACAGCCAGAGCCAACACTAAGTAAAAAGTCAGGTTGTCATTGTACTCCTTGTCGTGTGTAAAGTCAGTGAACTCCGACAGCACTTCAGGGAAGCTGTCCGCCACCGCCACGTTAACAATGACTGTAGCTGAACGAGAGGGCTGCCCGTTGTCCTCCACTATAACAGTCAGTCTTTGTTTCACTGCATCTTTATCAGTGACTTGGCGGATAGTTCTTATTTCTCCATTCTGTAAGCCCACTTCAAACAGCGCCCTGTCTGTGGCTTTCTGCAGTTTATAGGAGAGCCAGGCATTCTGTCCAGAGTCCACATCAACAGCCACCACTTTGGTCACCAGATAGCCCACATCTGCTGAACGAGGCACCATTTCAGCGACCAGAGAGCCACCAGTCTGGACTGGGTACAGAACCTGAGGAGGGTTGTCGTTCTGGTCCTGAATATTTAATTTAACGGTCGCATTGCTGCTTAGAGGTGGGGAACCTCCATCCTGTGCTTTTACGAAAATATTAATTGTTTTAATTTGCTCATAGTCAAATGATCGAACGGCATGCATGACTCCACTTTCTGCGTTAACAGATATATAAGTGGATATGGGGTTACCATTTAACTGAGTATCAATAAGCAGGTAAGACACTCGTGCGTTCTGACCTGAGTCAGAGTCCCGTGCTTTCACGGAAAACACAGACAGTCCTGGGGAATTATTCTCCATGATAATAGCTTCATAATAATTCTGCTCAAATACAGGGGCATTATCATTGACGTCGGAGATTCTTAGTGTTATTGTCTTGTTAGTTGAGAGCGGTGGGCTCCCTTCATCCACTGCCGTGAAAGTGATATTATAATCAGGATTACGCTCCCTGTCAAGGACACCGTTTGTTACCAGAGTATAATAATTCTTTAGAGATGAGTGGATTGTGAACGGGATATTGCCGTTAACTGAACAGTCCACTTTGCCATTTTTGCCTGAATCTAGATCTTTAACGTTTATGATGGCTACAGTAGTTCCACTAGGAGAATCCTCGGCAATGGAACTAGAAAACGAGGTTAGTGTTATTACAGGTGCATTGTCATTTACATCCGTCACTTCAATTATCACATTTGTGGATGTGCTCTGTCCACCTTGGTCTTTTGCCTGCACACCGATTTCGTATATTTTATTCTCTTCATAATCAATTACACCGTTTACAGTTAAATCGCCGCTGTTTTCATCCAGAAGAAATAGTTCAGCAACATTACTTGACATGTGATTAAAGTGGTATGTAACACGTCCATTCATCCCTTCATCTGCATCAGTTGCGCTCAACCTCACTACTAAAGTACCCTTTGGAACATTTTCTTTAACAGACGCCTTGAAAATAGATTGCGTAAACACTGGAGCATTGTCATTTGTGTCTCTGACAGTCACCTGTATTTTTAGTGTCCCCGATCGCTGTGGTTCACCCCCGTCTACAGCAGTTAGAGTGAGAAGCAGCTTTTCTTCTTTCTCCCGATCTAACGCATTAGAAAGATACAACTGTGCATATTTATGTCCATTTGGGCTGGACAGGACCTTAATATTGAAATGTGTTGTTGGGTGTAACGCATAGCCATTTAAAGCGTTGATGCCAACATCAGGGTCGGTGGCACTCACTTGTAATATGTCAGTTCCTGTAAGAGCAGATTCTACGATTTCAACATGCATTTCTTTCTCGTGAAACACAGGAGCATTGTCATTCACATCCAACACTTCCACTACCACGCTATGTAGTTGCATTGGATTCGTCATAATCATTTCAAAATTCAAGCTGCAGGGCGATGTCTGCCCGCAGAGCTGCTCTCTATCTATTCTTTCTCCTACGACCAGAATCCCTTTGTCTACATCCAGCCTAATATACTCGCTGCTATCACCGCTAACGATTCGGGCACCGCCTGATTTCAGTCTTTTGGCGTCGATCCCTAAATCTTCAGCCACATTTCCCACAAAGGAGCCCTTTCTCATCTCCTCGGGGACAGAGTAGCGGATCTGGCAGACTGTCTCCTCAATGAGAAAAACAAGGATGAAGGCCCGTACTTGCCATTTAATCGTGGGTTCACCGCTGATATGAGCCATGTTCCCGAATCAATCCGATCAACTCCACATTAAAGTATGTCGCAAACAGCCTGCGTATAACTCCGTATATTCCTTCAGTTCATGTGTTTATAATCCACAGAGTGACAACGAAAACGTCAGTCTAACAATCAGTGGTGAAAATAAGGACTGACTGTCCTGCTCTCCACGGTACACTAAGAGGAGGACTGGAGGTGTAGCTTCATTTCAAAAGCTTTACATGTGCTTAGAAGACCAACAGCGGCCCTTAGAGTCCGATATGAATATAACAAGTGCTGTCATAAAATATGGGGAAAATACTCCTCTCTGAAGAGCAGTTCCGTGTTTAAGAGGCAGCAGACGTTTAAATGATGTAGAGGAGATGTTTAACTTAATGTGTGCATTCTGTTTGAACGACGGAAACAAAGTGAGAAACCAAAATACATCTGCAGCCACCAGACATGTTGCTGTAAACTGAAAACAGTCTTTCGTGGAACTATTGCCTTTGTTTTCTCCCTGAAAAAGCTTCGCTCAATTCACAAAGTCAATTCATATCTTGTAATTACAACAGACTAAAAACCCATGCAGACAACATTACAGATGAGTGGCAGATAATGACACCAAAGTGTTCATCTTCCTCACTAATCTTTCTCGCTTGAGGGAAATGGCTCAACTCTGAGAGGAGCTGTCCATTACTAGTAGTACTGAAGATGACCACTAAACAGGCAGTGAGAGAAGCCATGAAATTTAAGTAATACCTGCAATCTAAAAATAAGATAATATAAGATCTACCTTTATTGATCCTCCGTAGAAGAAATCGAACGATAATTGATCCACTGTTAGTTTGTTAAGGACTATGGAGCGAAAAAACTCACCTCTAGAGGGGAGTCTGGTTCATCCAGGATGCTCTTTTCGTTCTGTATCCGCTGCATCGTCCCTGTAGAATTGGGGTCCATTATCAGCACGTTCTGACTACCAGCTCTGCCGAACTTACAGTCACTCTTTCTGGAGTCAGTTGTCCTGCACACCTCGTAATTGTACACGTGTTGGAGAGTCCCTGTCCCCAAAGTGTCTGAGTAACGTGGTGGATAATATGGAATCACAGGGAGATTGGAGTGATACAGGATGCGAGACTGTCTCCATCTGTAGATTTTCACTGATATAATAACCACTAAACACGTGATGAAGAGGAAGGAAACTACAGCCAGAGCCAACACTAAGTAAAAAGTCAGGTTGTCATTGTACTCCTTGTCGTGTGTAAAGTCAGTGAACTCAGACAGCACTTCAGGGAAACTGTCCGCCACCGCCACGTTAACAATGACTGTAGCTGAACGAGAGGGCTGCCCGTTGTCCTCCACTATAACAGTCAGTCTTTGTTTCACTGCATCTTTATCAGTGACTTGGCGGATAGTTCTTATTTCTCCATTCTGTAAGCCCACTTCAAACAGCGCCCTGTCTGTGGCTTTCTGCAGTTTATAGGAGAGCCAGGCATTCTGTCCAGAGTCCACATCAACAGCCACCACTTTGGTCACCAGATAGCCCACATCTGCTGAACGAGGCACCATTTCAGCCACCAGAGAGCCACCAGTCTGGACTGGGTACAGAACCTGAGGAGGGTTGTCGTTCTGGTCCTGAATATTTAATTTAACGGTCGCATTGCTGCATAGAGATGGGGAACCTCCATCCTGTGCTTTTACGAAAATATTAATCGTTTTAATTTGCTCATAGTCAAATGATCGAACGGCATGCATGACTCCACTTTCTGCGTTAACAGATATATAAGTGGATATGGGGTTACCATTTAACTGAGTATCAATAAGCAGGTAAGACACTCGTGCGTTCTGACCTGAGTCAGAGTCCCGTGCTTTCACGGAAAACACAGACAGTCCTGGGGAATTATTCTCCATAATATTAGCTTCATAATAATTCTGCTCAAATACAGGGGCATTATCATTGACGTCGGAGATTCTTAGTGTTATTGTCTTGTTAGTTGAGAGCGGTGGGCTCCCTTCATCCACTGCCGTGAAAGTGATATTATAATCAGGATTACGCTCCCTGTCAAGGACACCGTTTGTTACCAGAGTATAATAATTCTTTAGAGATGAGTGGATTGTGAACGGGATATTTCCATTAACTGAACAGTCCACTTTGCCATTTTTGCCTGAATCTAGATCTTTAACGTTTATGATGGCTACAGTAGTTCCACTAGGAGAATCCTCGGCAATGGAACTAGAAAACGAGGTTAGTGTTATTACAGGTGCATTGTCATTTACATCCGTCACTTCAATTATCACATTTGTGGATGTGCTCTGTCCACCTTGGTCTTTTGCCTGCACACCGATCTCGTATATTTTATTCTCTTCATAATCAATCACACCGTTTACAGTTAAATCGCCGCTGTTTTCATCCAGAAGAAATAGTTCAGCAACATTACCAGACTTGCGGTTAAAGTGGTATGTAACACGTCCATTCATCCCTTCATCTGCATCAATTGCGCTCAACCTCACTACTAAAGTACCCTTTGGAACATTTTCTTTAACAGACGCCTTGAAAATCGATTGCGTAAACACTGGAGCATTGTCATTTGTGTCTCTGACAGTCACCTGTATTTTTAGTGTCCCCGATCGCTGTGGTTCACCCCCGTCTACAGCAGTTAGAGTGAGAAGCAGCTTTTCTTCTTTCTCCCGATCTAACGCATTAGAAAGATACAACTGTGCATATTTATGTCCATTTGGGCTGGACAGGACCTTAATATTGAAATGTGTTGTTGGGTGTAACGCATAGCCATTTAAAGCGTTGATGCCAACATCAGGGTCGGTGGCACTCTCTTGTAATATTTCGGTTCCTGGAATAGCAGATTCTAGTATTTCAGCATGCACTTCTTTCTCATGAAACACAGGAGCATTGTCATTCACATCCAACACTTCCACTACCACGCTATGTAGTTGCATTGGATTCGTCATAATCATTTCAAAATTCAAGCTGCAGGGCGATGTCTGCCCGCAGAGCTGCTCTCTATCTATTCTTTCTCCTACGACCAGAATCCCTTTGTCTACATCCAGCCTAATATACTCGCTGCTATCACCGCTAACGATTCGGGCACCGCCTGATTTCAGTCTTTTGGCGTCGATCCCTAAATCTTCAGCCACATTTCCCACAAAGGAGCCCTTTCTCATCTCCTCGGGGACAGAGTAGCGGATCTGGCAGACAGTCGCCTCAATGAGAAAAACAAGGATGAAGGCCCGTACTTGCCATTTAATCGTGGGCTCATTGCTGATATGAGCCATATTCCCGAATAAATCCGTCCAACTCCACATCAAAATATGTCGCAAATAGCCTGCGTATAACTCCGTATATTCCTTCAGTTCATGTGTTTATAATCCACAGAGTGACAACGAAAACGTCAGTCTAACAATCAGTGGTGAAAATAAGGACTGACTGTCCTGCTCTCCACGGTACACTAAGAGGAGGACTGGAGGTGTAGCTTCATTTCAAAAGCTTTACATGTGCTCAGAAGACCAACAGCGGCCCTTAGAGTCCGATATGAATATAACAAGTGCTGTCAAAAAACATAGGGAAAATACTCCATGAAGAGCAGTTCCGTGTTTAAGAGGCAGCAGACGTTTAAAGGATGTAGAAGAGATTTTTACCTTAATGTGTGCATTCTGTTTGAACGACGGAAACAAAGTGAGAAACCAAAATACATCTGCAGCCACCAGACATGTTGCTGTAAACTGAAAACAGTCTTTCGTGGAACTATTGCCTTTGTTTTCTCCCTGAAAAAGCTTCGCTCAATTCACAAAGTCAATTCATATCTTGTAATTACAACAGACTAAAAACCCATGCAGACAACATTACAGATGAGTGGCAGATAATGACATCAAAGTGTTCATCTTCCTCACTAACTCCTTCTCTCTTGAGGGAAATGGCTCAACTCTGAGAGGAGCTGTCCATTACTAGTAGTGCTGAAGATGACCACTAAACAGGCAGTGAGAGAAGCCATGAAAGACAGGTAATAACTGCAATCGAAAAATAAGATAAGATAACATAAAATTGGATGAATTAAGATAAGATAAGATGTACCTTTATTGATCCCCCATAGAGAAAATTCAATTTACACCATAATTGATGCACTGTTAGTTTGTTGAAGACGATGGGTCAAAAAACTCCCCTCTAAAGGAGAGTCTGGTTCATCCAGGATGCTCTTTTCATTCTGTATCCGCTGCATCGTCCCTGTAGAACTAGGGTCCATTATCAGCACGTTCTGACTACCAGCTCTGCCGAACTTACAGTCACTCTTTCTGGAGTCAGTTGTCCTGCACACCTCGTAATTGTACACGTGTTGGAGAGTCCCTGTCCCCAAAGTGTCTGAGTAACGTGGTGGATAATATGGAATCACAGGGAGATTGGAGTGATACAGGATGCGAGACTGTCTCCATCTGTAGATTTTCACTGATATAATAACCACTAAACACGTGATGAAGAGGAAGGAAACTACAGCCAGAGCCAACACTAAGTAAAAAGTCAGGTTGTCATTGTACTCCTTGTCGTGTGTAAAGTCAGTGAACTCCGACAGCACTTCAGGGAAGCTGTCCGCCACCGCCACGTTAACAATGACCGTAGCTGAACGAGAGGGCTGCCCGTTGTCCTCCACTATAACAGTCAGTCTTTGTTTCACTGCATCTTTATCAGTGACTTGGCGGATAGTTCTTATTTCTCCATTCTGAAAGCCCACTTCAAACAGCGCCCTGTCTGTGGCTTTCTGCAGTTTATAGGAGAGCCAGGCATTTTGTCCAGAGTCCACATCAACAGCCACCACTTTGGTCACCAGATAGCCCACATCTGCTGAACGAGGCACCATTTCAGCGACCAGAGAGCCACCAGTCTGGACTGGGTACAGAACCTGAGGAGGGTTGTCGTTCTGGTCCTGGATCAGTATTCTAACTGTAGCCACCGAACTCAGAGGAGGGGATCCCGCATCACGAGCAGTCACGTTAAATTCAAACCGCTTGATTTGCTCATAATCAAACGACCTCACTGCATGAATGGCACCAGTTTCTGAATTTACTGACACTAAAGAAGACACTGCTACCCCACTAATCTCTTTCTCCTCCAGAAAGTAAGAAACCCGAGCGTTTTGTCCCCAGTCTGCATCACTGGCGTTGAGAGCAAACACGGAAAATCCAGGAGAGTTGTTCTCTCGTATAGTCTTACTATATTCTGATTTAACAAATTTGGGTGGGCTGTCATTCACGTCAGATACTTTTACATTGATGTTTTTACTGCTAGACAGTGGCGGAGAACCTTGGTCAGAAACAATTATGGTGATGTTATACTCAGGAATACTTTCTCTGTCTAAGACGTTGTCGGTTATTATGGTGTAATATCCAGTTAATGAAGACTCAATTTTGAAAGGTATTTCAGAGTTAATGGAGCACTTGACAACACCGTTACCATCAGAGTCTTCGTCATTGACATTAACAACAGCTATAGTTGTACCTGGGGGTGAGTCCTCGGATATCGAGTTAGAAAATGACATAAGTTGTATCGTTGGGACGTTGTCATTCTCATCAATTATTTGAATAATAACTTTGCACGTATCTGTATATCCCCCGTGGTCACTAGCCTGCACGTTTAATTGATAAATCTTAGATTTTTCAAAATCTAGTTTTCCTGCAACTTTAATCTCTCCGGTTTTATCATTTACTGCAAAAAGCTGCTTCGCTTCTCTTGCAACATGAGCTATGGAATAAGTGACTTCACCATAATGTCCTTTATCTGCGTCATTTGCACTAACAGTGGTTACCACTGTTCCTTCAGGAGAATTCTCCTTGACATCTGCTTTGTAAACAGGCTGGCTACACACTGGCGCATTATCGTTAGCATCTAGCACAGTGATATGAATACGCACAGTTCCTGATCTATGTGGCTCGCCGCCATCTGAAGCAACCAGCACGAGTGTGTGGGTTTCCTCTTTCTCGCGGTCTAACGGGTTTTGTAAAACCATTTCGATAAATCTGCCTCCGTCCGGTTGGCTCTGTACTTCCAATTTGAAATTATCTGAGGGTTTAAGGGTGTATTTTTGAATATCATTAATACCAACATCAGGGTCGTCTGCACTCTCCAATGAGAAGCGAGTCCCTGATGCAGCATTTTCAACAATTTTCAAGTTGATTGCATCCTTTGGGAACAGCGGGCTGTTATCGTTAATATCTATTACTTCCACTGTCACCCGATAAAGCTGGATTGGATTTTCTAAAATTACCTCGAAACTGAAGCTACATGGCGTCGTCTTTCCACACAGCTCTTCTCGGTCGACTCGCTCTTTAATAACAAGGCTGCCTTTGTCTCGGTTTAAATCGACATACTGTCGGCTTCCTTTAGTAATAATACGAGCTTTACCTGATATGAGTCTCGCCACATCCAGGCCTAAATCTCTAGCAATGTTTCCAACAAAAGACCCTTCTGCCTGCTCCTCTGGTATAGAATATCGAGCCTGTCCAGTCACTGAGCTCAGCTTGAAAAGACAAAGAATGACAACCATTGCCTGCCATCTAAGAGCGATTTTCCACACACAAGCCATCCTAAATCCAAAGGTTACAGAAGAAGCGATCCCTTTCAATGCAAATCTGATGGAGTTAAATCCATGAATTGAAAAGGTGATAGTATTTTCAGCAGATAGATTCCACACTTTAAACCTTGAGGAGTCAGACCGTCTTCTTTCCAAGCAGTTAAACACTGAATGGAGTTAAAGGGGTGGATCGCTGCACTGCTTATTTGGACAGTGAGTCAGTGATGTATCAACAGCGGCGCTCAGAGCCCATCCACGGTAATGTATCTGGTGTGCACATTATTAGGAACAGTTAAAATGTTGTTTTCAAATCATATATATAGGTTTTAGTATTATATTAAAATGTTGATATAAAGCTCTACATGTGAGCAGTATGAACGAAGCCTATGCTTTTAAACTGACCAGGCTGTGTTCCACAAAAGCATATTGTTTTCAAATTGCATTAAAATGTTATTCCCTTAAGATCACAACTGATGCTGTGAGGCTGAAACATTAATGATGATCTATAAAATCAACTATAAAATATACAAAGGTGAACGTTCAGCATACATACAGTACTACAATCCAACTACTGAAAAACAGAGTGGGTAAGGGAAACTAGGGAAAGAGACATGGTCTTTTATGGTCATTTTGCTTTCAGTTGTCATTTTTTGATTTTTACCTGCAACGTCTGAATACAGGTGTTTTTCTTACAATATAGATTGCTTACAGTAGGAATATTAGTTCAACAAATAAGTAACAAAACCTTCATTAAAAAAGGGTGATGCCACTCCCACAGATTAAGATGTGAAACTGTAACTGTTGCCGATAATGTTAATGTGACTGGAATCTTCGGCCTAAAACAACACCAAGACTCTTGTTAGTGTCCTTTTACTGCATACATATGTCTCTAGCGTGGGTATGATGTTAGAAAGTTTGATGAGAAGAAGAATAAGAATACCCAGGCCACCACTACAAGCGGTAAAGAAAGTTACTTGAAAGTGAATCCATCGGCCGTTCCAGCACCATGGACAGCGGCAATGCAGCGCTACTGACAGCCGCACACATTGCTCTAAACACTTCAGAAGAAAAACAATGAACGAAAGATTAAATATATCACTCACCAATGTTGACATTTGGGAACAGATGCCTGACAGTTGCTTGTCCACCTGCGATGTATCAGCCCCAGCTCCATCCACACTCACCAAACTTTGACTCATCGGTTGCATACATTTCATGTCACTCTTTCTGGAGTCAGTGGTCCTGCACACCTCGTAATTGTACACGTGCTGGAGAGTCCCTGTCCCCAAAGTGTCTGAGTAACGTGGTGGATAATATGGAATCACAGGGAGATTGGAGTGATACAGGATGCGAGACTGTCTCCATCTGTAGATTTTCACTGATATAATAACCACTAAACACGTGATGAAGAGGAAGGAAACTACAGCCAGAGCCAACACTAAGTAAAAAGTCAGGTTGTCATTGTACTCCTTGTCGTGTGTAAAGTCAGTGAACTCAGACAGCACTTCAGGGAAGCTGTCAGCCACCGCCACGTTAACAATGACTGTAGCTGAACGAGAGGGCTGCCCGTTGTCCTCCACTATAACAGTCAGTCTTTGTTTCACTGCATCTTTATCAGTGACTTGGCGGATAGTTCTTATTTCTCCATTCTGTAAGCCCACTTCAAACAGCGCCCTGTCTGTGGCTTTCTGCAGTTTATAGGAGAGCCAGGCATTCTGTCCAGAGTCCACATCAACAGCCACCACTTTGGTCACCAGATAGCCCACATCTGCTGAACGAGGCACCATTTCAGCGACCAGAGAGCCACCAGTCTGGACTGGGTACAGAACCTGAGGAGGGTTGTCGTTCTGGTCCTGGATCAGTATTTTCACAGTTACATTATTATTGAGTGGAGGAGAGCCTCCATCTTGCGCTTTCACAGTCAGCTGAAGCTCTTTAATCTGTTCATAATCAAACGAGCGCACTGCATGTAAAACCCCTGTTTCAGTGTTTATAGACACATAGTTAGAGACTGGATTACCGCCGATTTGTGTGTTTTCCAGGAAATAGGAGATTCTCGCGTTTTGACCCCAGTCAGAGTCCCGTGCGCCGACAGTGGTGATGGACACTCCAGGAGAATTATTCTCTGTGACGTAAGCAGAATATGAGTTTTTGTCGAACAACGGGCCGTTGTCGTTTACGTCAGAGATTCTAAGGTGTAATGTGACGGAGCTAAAAAGAGGAGGGGACCCGGAGTCGGTGGCTATTATTGTAATATCGTATTCAGAAGTGGTCTCTCTATCAAAATGCTGATCAGCCACTAAATTGTAGTAGTTCGTTAACGACGACTGGATTTGAAACGGAAGCGTTTTGTCTATAGCACATTTTATTTGTCCATTTTTCTCTGAGTCAGAGTCTTTGACGTTGATAACAGCTATTGTTGTTCCGAGAGGGGCATCTTCTGATACAGTGTTAGAAAATGACATGATATTTATAACCGGAACATTGTCGTTGACGTCAATAACATCAATTATAACTTTACTGGTCCCGGTCAAGCCACCTCGATCCCTTGCCTCTAACCTGAGCTCATATTTTTTCTCTCTTTCAAAGTCAATAAGTCCGGCAACAGATATGACACCTGTGTTTTCATCGATACCAAAAATATCAACTGTGCTGCCTTTTATTTTTGAAAAACTGAAAATTACTTCTCCGTTAGTGCCAATGTCTGCATCAGTTGCATTAACTGTTGTGATGTAAGTGCCTTTTGGCGCATTTTCAACGACTACGGCCCTGTAGACTGACTGATTGAATACAGGCGCGTTATCATTTGCGTCTAAAACGGATACATTTATATTTACAGTACCAGATCTCTGTGGGTTTCCACCGTCTACTGCTATTACTTTAAGAGGGAGATTGGGGTGTTCCTCTCTGTCTAATGGCTTTTGGAGCACCAGTTCAGCATATTTACTGCCGTCTGGATTTGCATGTTGTTTCAGAATGAAATAATTATTCGGAGACAGGATGTAATTTTGTAATGCGTTTAATCCAACGTCAGGATCAACTGCGCTTTCAACGGGAAATTTTGCTCCAACTGTAGCAGATTCGCTCATTTCAAACTGGATATTTTTATTTGGGAAGAAAGGAGCGTTATCATTTATATCTAAAATTTCGACGGTGACACGATGAAGTTCGATTGGATTTTCTAAAATCATTTCGAAGCTGAGGCTACAAGGTGTCACATCTCCACACAGCTGCTCTCGGTCTATTCTCTCGTTCACGACAAGAATCCCTTTGTCTGTCTTCAGCTCAGTGTACTGGATGTTTTCTCCACTGACGATGCGACCACGGCCGGAACGGAGCCTTGCCAGGTCCAGACCCAGGTCTTGTGCTACGCTACCAATAACGGAGCCCTTTCTCATCTCCTCTGGGATAGAATAACGAATCTGAGCAGCTACTCTATCAGCCACAGAAGTAAGACAAATGAAAATTCCCACCTTCCATTGTAACATACAAAACAATCGCCATCTTACATTTCGAGGGTAGATTTGGCCTTGGGTTGCCATATCAGAAGCAATAGATCCTGACGAATGAAGTGTCCTCACTTAAAGAAAATGAAAACGAGCTTGTATTCCTGCATAAAATTATACTGCTGTAAGAAAGCAACGCGCTGCTCCTATATTACATCACCTCTTCACGCCCTGTCCTCGCATCAAGGACAATATCTCCGCTGTCATGGCAAGCTCCGATAGAGAGGAAGGGGAAAGACTGGCTGTAAACATTAAAATCGTTTTGCTGACCAACAGCGTCACTTAGAGTCCAAAACCTGAACTCTTACTCCTTACCTTATTTATTGCAAGTAAACATGCATATACTGTGTGAACTTAGTGCTGAAAGGTTTACTATTACTGCATTTGCTTAATGTTGAGAAGACAGAATCTATATGACAACTTTAGAAATTGTACAATACTCCAATGACATTTAATCAAATATTGTACTGTAATAAATATTAGATGACATTCAAAAAGCAATAGGTTGTTATAATAGGTCTATATAAAGAAATGTCGCTGTCTGTGGTACTGAAACAAGAAGCATCACGAATTCAGAGAAAGGACAAGTTGGATCAAATGTATGTATGATAAAATTAAATTACTGATGAGAAACTAAATAGTAACGAAAATCTACTCAATAAAGTTGTTAGTCTGAAAACAGAAAACAAGTGTCACATTCAGTTGACACAAAGTGAACCACGTGTTTGCTGCTGTATGTAGACACATTACTGGTTTTGCATTTTCAATTTAAAACAAATGAGAATATAGTAATATAGTATATATATATATATAGTAAACAGTAAGCAGGAATGAAAGCTGTGGGATTTGTGGTGCAAATCACCAGAAATTTAGTGGGGTGATGAAACTGAACTAACCACTAGAGGAGAGTCTGGATGCTATTTTCATTCTGTATCCACTGCATCGTCCCTGTAGAACTGGGGTCCATTATCAGCAAGTTCTGACTACCAGCTCTGCTGAACTTACAGTCACTCTTTATGGAGTCAGTCGTCCTGCACACCTTGTAATTGTACACGTGTTGGAGAGTCCCTGTCACCAAAGTGTCTGAGTAATGTGGTGGATAATATGGAATCACAGGGAGATTGGAGTGATACAGGATGCGAGACTGTCTCCATCTGTAGATTTTCACTGATATAATAACCACTAAACACGTGATGAAGAGGAAGGAAACTACAGCCAGAGCCAACACTAAGTAAAAAGTCAGGTTGTCATTGTACTCCTTGTCGTGTGAAAAGTCATTGAACTCCGACAGTACTTAAGGGAAGCTGTCTGCCACCGCCATGTTAAAAAAGACTGTAGCTGAACAAGAGGGCTGCCCGTTGTCCTCCACTATAACAGTCAGTCTTTGTTTCACTGCATCTTATTACAGCCGTAACAACACTGCACTCGGTTGTACTGATCAACAGCATCCCTTAGAGTCCAAATGAAGGAACCAACCGTGCCAACCGCAAATAGGTTGAAAAACCATTTCCATGAAATCTACTGTGTGGACCAAGAATTCCACAAGTAATGGAAATAAAAATGAATAGATGAAGAACCTCAAACCAAAATATAACATCAAACCACACATTCCACAAATAATTAAACCACAGTCAGAGATCAAGTGATTTAAAGCATTATTTAAACCAAACATGTCTTATTGTATGGAGTTCTCCGACGTTGCAGCGCTAAATAAAATGGTTAAAGAAGGACATTAACTTCCATGAAAAATTAGTACAATATAGTAGGCAAACTTTGAGAGTAAGAATATTTACTCTGTTGCACAATACAAGCAAGTTATCTGTCCGTTTTAAAACAACGTAACTAAATTAAACTATACAAATATGCAAGTGAAATGTGACAGCAGAGTCTGAGAATATAGGCAGAATAATATATTTTTGAAGTTCTGAATATGAATGCAGAACCATCTTATCCAGTGATGTAAAGTGAGATGCTGTCCATGGTGCTGAAAATGTAGGCATGGCGCAAAACAGTTTCCGATGTATTTAACTAAACACAGAAAGAAATAACGGTACAGAGAGGAAGCTACATTATATAACTGACCTCTATAGGAGAGTCTGGTTCATCCAGGATGCTCTTTTCATTCTGTATCCGCTGCATCGTCCCTGTAGAGCTGGTGTCCATTATCAGCACGTTCTGACTACCAGCTCTGCCGAACTTACAGTCACTCTTTCTGGAGTCAGTTGTCCTGCACACCTCGTAATTGTACACGTGCTGGAGAGTCCCGGTGCCCAAAGTGTCTGAGTAACGTGGTGGATAATATGGAATCACAGGGAGATTGGAGTGATACAGGATGCGAGACTGTCTCCATCTGTAGATTTTCACTGATATAATAACCACTAAACATGTGATGAAGAGGAAGGAAACTACAGCCAGAGCCAACACTAAGTAAAAAGTCAGGTTGTCATTGTACTCCTTGTCGTGTGTAAAGTCAGTGAACTCCGACAGCACTTCAGGGAAGCTGTCCGCCACCGCCACGTTAACAATGACTGTAGCTGAACGAGAGGGCTGCCCGTTGTCCTCCACTATAACAGTCAGTCTTTGTTTCACTGCATCTTTATCAGTGACTTGGCGGATAGTTCTTATTTCTCCATTCTGTAAGCCCACTTCAAACAACGCCCTGTCTGTGGCTTTCTGCAGTTTATAGGAGAGCCAGGCATTCTGTCCAGAGTCCACATCAACAGCCACCACTTTGGTCACCAGATAGCCCACATCTGCTGAACGAGGCACTATTTCAGCCACCAGAGAGCCACCAGTCTGGACTGGGTACAGAACCTGAGGAGGGTTGTCGTTCTGGTCCTGGATCAGTATTTTCACAGTCACATTGCTACTGAGTGGAGGAGAGCCTCCATCCTGCGCTTTGACAACGAAAACCAACAGTTTAATTTTCTCGTAATCAAACGAGCGCACCGCATGGATGACTCCGCTTTCTGCATTAACTGACACAGAGCGAGAAACTGGAGATCCGTCAAGATCCATATCCTCCAGAATATAAGAAATTCGGGCGTTTTGGTTTTCATCAGGATCTTTAGCTCTAACAGTGAGAAGAGAAACGCCTGGAGAGTTATTCTCTGCAACAAACGCGTTGTAAACACCCTGTGAAAACACTGGAGAATTATCGTTCACATCAGAGACCTTTAAATGAAAGGTTCTTTTTGTTGAAAGAGGAGGCATTCCTGCATCTGTCGCAACGACAGTGATGTTATAGTCGGAAACACTTTCACGATCTAACACAGTGTCTGTTACCAAAGTATAGTAATTTCTTAAACTGGATTTGATCTTGAAAGGTGCGTTTTGTTCTATTCTACAATTGACTTGTCCGTTATCACCTGAATCGAGGTCTTTTACATTTATAATGCCAATAGTTGTACCAGGAGGGGAGTCCTCTGTAACAGGAGTAGTGAATGACATTACGTTAATGGTAGGGGCGTTGTCATTCACATCAGTTACTTCAATTATCACTTTACTTGAATCCGTTAAACCTCCCTGATCCTTTGCATCAATTCTGAGTTCAAATTTTTTATCCTTTTCAAAATCTATTGGGCCCGAAACAGACAGCACACCAGTGACTTGATTAATGGACAACAAATCAGCTATGTTGCTCTTAACGTTTGAAATTGAATATGTGATGTGACCGTTTGATCCCCTATCTGCGTCTGTTGCATTAACAGTAACGATATTAGTGCCCTTTGCTGCGTTTTCTATCACCGTGGCCTTATAAACAGACTGATTGAAAACGGGTGCATTGTCATTGGCATCTAAGACTATTATGTTTATATTTACGGTGCCAGATCTCTGTGGATTTCCACCATCTACTGCTATAAGCTTTAGAGACAGACTGGGAACCTCCTCTCTGTCTAACTGCTTCTGAAGCACCATCTCTGCATATTTACTCCCGTCTGGATTTACATGCTGCTTTAACACGAAATTGTCATTTGAGGTTAAAACATAATTTTGCAGGCCATTGACGCCAACATCAAGATCCTCTGCATTATCCAGCACAAACCGCGCCCCAACGTTAGCGGACTCGCTTATGTCTAACATAATATCTGACTTCTTGAATACTGGCGGATGATCATTCACATCCAACACTTCAATCGTTATGTGGTGTAGCTCCATAGGATTTTCTAAAATTATTTCAAAGCTGAAGCTGCACGGTGTTACGTCTCCACAAAGCTGTTCTCGGTCTATTCTCTCATTCACGACTAAAATCCCTTTGTCTGTCTTCAGCTCGGTGTACTGGTTGTTTTCTCCGGTCACGATACGGGCCCGACCAGAACGGAGCCTCTTTAGATCCAAACCCAGATCCTGTGCTACATTACCGATAAGAGAGCCATTCTTCATCTCTTCTGGTATCGAGTAGCGGATCTGACAAGCTACCATGCTGAAGAAGCAAAGCAACAAAATAACCATTACCCGCTGAGGTCCGAAATACAAACGCCATTTGCAGAGTGGTTGCTGATATGCCATTTCAGAAAGGGACTTTTCAGAGAAAAAAAAAACTAGATCCTCCGACCTGAATTCAGTTACATCCACCCTTCCACGTGTGCCTTTTTCACATATTAAAACAAAGACAGCCACTAGAATGTATAAGCCTTTCTTTCCCGAAATGCCTATGGCCCAAGTTTGCTGATGGTGCCTCTTAACCTACTTCAATATGAGCTCACAAAGAACCTCCCTGAACTGCAACAGAGAGATGATGGGAACAGATTATATTCTTATTCAACAGCGTCGCTTAGAGTCCAAAATGTGAACACCAATCGGTTTGGAAGCACAATGAAGTAAATATTCAAAACAAAGAAAAAAAAAGAAAAGATATTTGCATCAGAATGACTACAGACTTAAATAATGAGAGAGAAAGAGATAAATAGGAGAATATTACATTTGCAAATTTTGACAACTTTGCTAAATGAATGTTCATGTATAATAACTATATTATTCTTATGATTATTATTATTAGTAATAGCAGTTGTAGTAGACGATAAAATTTCTGATTAGAGGCTATAAAGTCTCAATAAAAGATGGCATTTTCAGTTCAAGTGGAGCTTTCCAAAGAGTGGTGCTGAAAAGAACCGTGTTCACTTGTTTTCAGTGAAACTGCAGCCAACTACTTATTGCAATTTACTATCGTTGAGAGAAACAATGTTTGCATAAGTAAAACACTTTGCGTATTGCAGCTCACCTCTAGAGGAGAGTCTGGTTCATCCAGGATGCTCTTTTCATTCTGTATCCGCTGCATCGTCCCTGTAGAACTGGGGTCCATTATCAGCACGTTCTGACTACCAGCTCTGCCGAACTTACAGTCACTCTTTCTGGAGTCAGTCGTCCTGCACACCTCGTAATTGTACACGTGTTGGAGAGTCCCTGTCCCCAAAGTGTCTGAGTAACGTGGTGGATAATATGGAATCACAGGGAGATTGGAGTGATACAGGATGCGAGACTGTCTCCATCTGTAGATTTTCACTGATATAATAACCACTAAACACGTGATGAAGAGGAAGGAAACTACAGCCAGAGCCAACACTAAGTAAAAAGTCAGGTTGTCATTGTACTCCTTGTCGTGTGTAAAGTCAGTGAACTCCGACAGCACTTCAGGGAAGCTGTCCGCCACCGCCACGTTAACAATGACTGTAGCTGAACGAGAGGGCTGCCCGTTGTCCTCCACTATAACAGTCAGTCTTTGTTTCACTGCATCTTTATCAGTGACTTGGCGGATAGTTCTTATTTCTCCATTCTGTAAGCCCACTTCAAACAGCGCCCTGTCTGTGGCTTTCTGCAGTTTATAGGAGAGCCAGGCATTCTGTCCAGAGTCCACATCAACAGCCACCACTTTAGTCACCAGATAGCCCACATCTGCTGAACGAGGCACCATTTCAGCCACCAGAGAGCCACCAGTCTGGACTGGGTACAGAACCTGAGGAGGGTTGTCGTTCTGGTCCTGGATCAATATTTTCACAGTCACATTGCTACTGAGTGGAGGAGAGCCTCCATCCTGCGCTTTGACAGCGAAAACCAGCCGTTTGATTTGCTCATAATCAAACGAGCGCACTGCATGTATCATTCCGCTTTCTGCATTTACAGAAACATACTCAGAAACTGAAAAGCCACCCATATTAGTATCCTCTAGAATATAAGAAATTCGGGCGTTCAGGTTTTCATCAGAATCTTTAGCTCTAACAGTGAGAAGAGAAACGCCTGGAGAGTTATTCTCTGCAACAAACGCGTTGTAAACACCCTGTGAAAACACTGGAGAATTATCGTTCACATCAGAGACCTTTAAATGAAAGGTTCTTTTTGTTGAGAGAGGAGGCATTCCTGCATCTGTCGCAACGACAGTGATGTTATAGTCTGGAACACTTTCACGATCTAATACAGTGTCTGTTACCAAAGTATAGTAATTTCTCAAATTTGATTTAATCTTGAAAGGTGCGTTTTGTTCTATTCTACAATTGACTTGTCCGTTATCACCTGAATCGAGGTCTTTTACATTTATAATGCCAATAGTTGTACCAGGAGGAGAGTCTTCTGACACCGGACTAGTGAATGACATGACACTGATAGTAGGGGCGTTGTCATTCACATCATTTACTTCAATTATCACTTTACTTGAATCCGTTAAACCTCCCTGGTCCTTTCCTTCGACTCTAAGTTCGTACTTTTTGTCTTTTTCATAATCAATTGAACCTGTAATTGAAATGACACCAGTTTTTTCATCAATCAAAAACAAATCACTCAGACCACTGTTGAGGTCTGAAAAATAATATGTTACAATACTGTTTGAGCCGAAATCTGCGTCACTAGCATTAACAGTTGTAATGTAAGTATCTCTGGGAGCATTTTCTATTACATTAACTTTGTACACTGATTGATTAAATACAGGTGCATTATCATTGGCATCAAGAACAGTGACATTTATATTTACTGTGCCAGATCTCTGCGGACTTCCACCGTCTACAGCTATAAGCTTTAGTGACAGATGAGGATTTGTCTCTCTGTCTAACGGCTTCTGAAGCACCATCTCTGCGTATTTCTTTCCATCCGCATTAGAATTTTGTTTTAAAACAAAATTGTCATTCTCAGTCAAAAAGTATTCTCTGAGTCCATTAAGACCCACATCTGGGTCTTCTGCACTGGTCAATGGAAAACGAGAGCCAGTATTAGCTATTTCACTGATTTCAAAATTGATGCTATTTCTTTTAAACGTGGGTGAATGGTCATTTATGTCTGTTATTTCAACTGTAATTTGATGTAGCTCCATAGGATTTTCTAAAATCACCTCAAAGCTGAAGCTGCATGGTGTTACGTCTCCACAAAGCTGCTCCCGGTCTATTTTCTCATTCACGACTAAAATCCCTTTGTCTGTCTTCAGCTCGGTGTACTGGATGTTTTCTCCGGTCACGATCTGGGCCCGACCTGAACGAAGCCGTTTCAGATCCAAACCAAGATCCTGTGCTACATTACCGATAAAGGAGCCTTTCTTCATTTCCTCTGGGATTGAATATCGGATGTGTCCGCCGACCATATGGTTGAAATAAAAAATGAACAACAGAAGCTGCAAATTTTTTCCGCAGCCAAAACGCCATTTCACGCACCGGGTGTTGGTTAGTATTCCACATGCCATAGCAAAAGAAAAACACGAAAATATCCTCTATAATGTTCCAAGCACGATGCTTATTATGAAATATACATGAAACGAACTGCTAAATAAAAATGGTGCTGTCTTTCCAGTTTCCTGTTTGTATCTGAATGGATGTTTATCGTAATGCGAGTCGGTTTTCTCGAATATCAGCCCACATAATGTAGCCTACACTATCTTCTTTTCTCTCACAGGTCACGGAATCAAGGGAGGGGACTCTGTAGTAATGTTTGAGGGAATATTTTGAATTGACCAACAGCGTCCCTTAGAGTCAACAATAAGAAAAGCATGTAATATAGAATAACTTCTGGAAAGATATTACATTCAATTGGAAATATATTTTAACACATAAAAACATGAAAAATCTCACCCTTAGCTTCAGTATAATGCAGTATTTATGCAAATACCTACAGATACTCTGATGTATGAATAAAAAGATCAAGTAAATCAGGAAAAACACAGAAACAAAATACAACCATAACACTATCATGGATCAGGAAGCGCTAGTAAAGAAACTCATAAGAGTTTGTTGAAGCTAGTTGATAATAAATGAGAGCAGTGAGGTTTTTGATTCTCAGTATGTTCATCTCAGTCACACGACAACATTTTTTCCAATATTCATGAGTGAATGCATATTAAGAAAATGCAAATCACCACACTGAACAAGCCCATTTATATTGTTGGAAGAAACAAACAATTTATCACTTCGTGTCATGAAAAAATGCCAGTCATACAAAACAGTGTGCGTGTGACACAATGAAACAGCAAAACACTAACTTAGAGTCAATAATGAGGTTCAATTAAAAGTTCTGAATGTCAATACAGAAGCAGCGTTCTTATCAAGTGATGTACAGTGAGATGCTGTCCATGGTGCTGAAATGAAGAAATGGCGCGCAAAAGTTCACCATAAATTTAACTACACACATGAAGAAATAACTGCAGAGTCGAAGCTAACTTATTTAACTCACCTCTATAGGAGAGTCTGGTTCATCCAGGATGCTCTTTTCATTCTGTATCCGCTGCATCGTCCCTGTAGAACTGGGGTCCATTATCAGCACGTTCTGACTACCAGCTCTGCCGAACTTACAGTCACTCTTTCTGGAGTCAGTCGTCCTGCACACTTCGTAATTGTACACGTGTTGGAGAGTCCCGGTGCCCAAAGTGTCTGAGTAACGTGGTGGATAATATGGAATCACAGGGAGATTGGAGTGATACAGGATGCGAGACTGTCTCCATCTGTAGATTTTCACTGATATAATAACCACTAAACACGTGACGAAGAGGAAGGAAACTACAGCCAGAGCCAACACTAAGTAAAAAGTCAGGTTGTCATTGTACTCCTTGTCATGTGTAAAGTCAGTGAACTCCGACAGCACTTCAGGGAAGCTGTCCGCCACCGCCACGTTAACAATGACTGTAGCTGAACGAGAGGGCTGCCCGTTGTCCTCCACTATAACAGTCAGTCTTTGTTTCACTGCATCTTTATCAGTGACTTGGCGGATAGTTCTTATTTCTCCATTCTGTAAGCCCACTTCAAACAGCGCCCTGTCTGTTGCTTTCTGCAGTTTATAGGAGAGCCAGGCATTCTGTCCAGAGTCCACATCAACAGCCACCACTTTAGTCACCAGATAGCCCACATCTGCTGAACGAGGCACCATTTCAGCCACCAGAGAGCCACCAGTCTGGACTGGATACAGAACCTGAGGAGGGTTGTCGTTCTGGTCCTGGATCAGTATTTTTACAGTCACATTGCTACTGAGTGGAGGAGAGCCTCCATCCTGCGCTTTGACTACTAGCTGAAGCTGTTTAATCTGCTCATAATCAAAGGAGCGAA